CAGTTGCTCACATCCTAGATTAACAACTCGGTCTTCGGTAGGTAAGTAAACGGTGCACATACCGCCCTATCAAATAAACATGTTATTTTTCAAATGTGTATGAAAGATATATGTATATATGTATGCGCGTGCGCGTGTATGTGTATATCAATATTAATATCGTAATAATTAAAATTTAGATCTTATATATATCTAGAGTTGGCAGAATTACATACAGAAATTCCTCGAATAACAGCTTGCTGTCCAGCAAGTGCAGGATCATCATGAGAGTCACGGATGCGTACTTCAATATCTGTTGTATGCCAATCTGAACCACTTATGCTAGAACCGACACCTGTATCCAATCCAGAACCAGGTGTTTGTGGGTTGTAAGGGCTACCTGCCACTCCTACAAAAATTAAAAATTATGTTATACACACACAAAAAGTATTAACTCTATCTATTAGATCCCTTTGTCATCGTCACATTGCTTACCAGGTGTCATAGGACTGTAACTCATCGGAGATGGTGTTGCAAATGCTCCATGAGGACTGGTAGTATATCCAGTGCCACTTGGGGACGGAGTAGCAACATAACCTGCAGGACTTGGACTTGCGGTAGCGCTGCCCGCAGGACTAGGGCTTGGTTGATATGAACTAAAGCTTTGTTCCGAACCATACATAGTGCCCGGAGTTTGTGGGGTAAATGGTCCTCCAGTAGGTGGATATCCAGGCGCATAGCCGGGTGAACCACCCTCTTCCATACTATAGCCGTCAAAATCGTTCGTTCTAGCGGGTGTGTTAGTAACTGCCGGGTCCCAGGCTCCAGACTGTCCTGGAGTTCGCGAACCATCGTGAGATGGTGTCATCGAACCATAATGAGGAGTGCGAGAACCGTCTGTAACATTAAAATTAAGCAAATTTTAAATTATATTCCAAGTAAAAAAATTATATTATACACGGCTACTCACTTTCGTACATAGGCGTCTGAGAGCCGTGCATAGGCGTCTTCGATCCGTCTCTCGCATACATCGGCGTTTGTCCACCGGCTGTGTAGGCTGGAGTTCTGTTGTAACTACTGAAACCACCGTCCTTTGTCGGGACACCGACGTTCGCTATGTGAGATCGATCGACGGAAATCGTTTGGCAAGTGGAATGCAGCTCCACGCGCGCTGTAGTCTCCGTCGCGTCCTTTACAATACCCACGTTTCCTTTGTATGGTCCACCAGTTATCTTAATAGTTGTTCCAATTAATTCCCTGTCGCGTCTCGCACCACTACCGCCACCGCGACCTCTGCCTCTTCCACCTCCACCACCGCCTCGACCAAAACCGCCTCTGTAAGAACAATGGGTAGTTTACAGAAATAAAATTTAAAAGTGAGAGTAATATTTCGAGTTTAATAAAACAGAATAAGAATAAGAAACCAACCCGCTGGGATGCATTGGAGAAGCAATTCTGGGTGACATAAATCCCGCCGCTGGTGACATGGAATTTATAGAATTTGTCTTATTCCCACCAGATAGCTGTAAATGTCTGGTCTTGCACACAAATATACCACCATTATCGACAAACATTCGCGAATGTAGAAAAGCAAAACTCCTATATAAGTGTTTAATTTCACCACCTCGACCTGCATGCGGCCCGTCAACCACCTTAACAATATCCTTCTTTTGTATGGTGTTTTGTTGCGAGTCCAAAGCGACCGCGTTTTTATTCTCTCGACGCTTCGTAAGACCCTGAGGTCTCGCTTCGACCACTTTTCCATGCATAGAGAGTACATGAAAATTCTCACGTTCCAATCGTACGATGACGCCGACTGTTTGCGTATCAAGTTGAATCAAGTCACCCCATTGGAATTGTCCTAAGCTATCAACGCCAGTCGCCATATCAGAACATAATTGCAAATCCCTTGGAAGGACTTCAAGTTCATGCATTGATAAATCGGAAAACAAAACTACTCTATTTTGTTCTACCCTGACAATCAAGCCTGTATCACCTTCATATCTTCCGGCTACAACCTATGAATTAATTAAAAACAATATAGTAATATAATATTATAAAAGATAAATTTCCATTTTAATAGAAAGAGTATAATTGACATTGCAGATATTTTACCTTTACGTGATCGCCCTGTGTAAAGTATTTTCGTAATTCTGAAGCTTGGAATTCCAAGGCTTCTTTGAGTTCTTCATGCTTCGGCATAACCATAATCATGTTTCCATCTATGGAAACAATTTTTCCTTGTAGATTTATCAATTCACCTTCGCACACCTCTACATTATCCCCATTGCTAAAGGAATGAGTTAAAGCTTGATCTTCTTTTCCAGAAACTCCAGTTCCTGGTGCGCCACTTAAATCTATCTCAACACCTTCTGGCGCTTCTTCAAATCTCTCTAATTCGGAAAGTGTAGGTTTAACACCTTCTGCGATAATAGCACTTGTGGTGAAATTCTTATAAAGAAAGCTGTACAAAATAATTAATCACAATAAGAAATCCATAATAAGATACACATAAAAATAAAAAAACATAGAACACAACAGCAGAATGAAACAAACCCTTTACGACTGTATCTATTTCCTTCAAAAATCAGAAAATCTCCATCGCTAGTAACCTCTCCACCAATAGCACGGATTGCTTCAGGATCAAATGGTTTTGCTGGTGGTCTTCTTTTCTTCTTACGTTTTAATGCTTCGGATTCGCTCTGTGCTGTTCTCAATGCACCGCGTGGTCTAGTGTAATCTATTCTTGGCAATAATTTTAGATGAACCTGGTTTTGTGCTAAGTCGACATAATCGACCTGAGCTATGTCGTCCTTATAAATGCCTCGTTTCAAACGGACCCATTGTTTAGCTTTTAAACCAGTCTGCTCTTTAACTACTCGCAGCACATCTGTCATTTCTTTAATCGGTACCATTTGCTGCTTCCATATACCCATTCTGAGGTTTCCAACATTTTCGATAGCAGCTTTTACATGAGGCTGCTTGTAAGCCTCTATATAAATGTAACCCTTAACACCTTCAGGGGCCACAACGGATTTTATCTGGAGAGGTTCACCTAAAATTTTAAGGAATAAAAGAATATTTATGAAGATATATAATAAGAATAAAAGAGATTCACTTTTTTAAAAATTTATATCTTACCCGAAAATTGATATGTGATAAATTTTCGCATTAATAAGAGCACAGTAGATTTTTCTTCTCCTATACGGCATTTCACCATCCACAAATTAGGATCTTTTACACCAGGCAACAGAGTTTGCTGAGTAATCTCATCACTCATTTCTTCACCACCATCGCCAAAATGACGAGCAGCGATCGATTCGTCAGCATACTTTTTTCTAAGGTATTCCTCAATTTCATCTTCTTTCTGTGAACTAATAAAAAAATATATTTATTAAAGATTCAATTCCTTTTATTTGAATAAAAATTAAATAAGTTGTATAATATCCTTCTTCACAAAATTTTAATACTTACTCCCATAGATTTGTACCCCTACGTCGTCCTTCAATCTCACGTGCAGTTGGTCCCAATTCATCCACTTCGTTTCCTACAATACCAATTTCTTGGGCACCTTCCTCCCAGTCATCATCATCCTCAACTTCATCATCCACTTCAGCTTCATCTATAATAAAACCACCAAATCTATCTTTCTTCTTTTTTTTTCTTGGTCTATCGTCGTCTTCTTCTTCTTCTTCCTCATCATATTCGCTGCTACCCAAGTCTTCTCCTGTAATCATAAAACACAGAAAATAATTGTAAAAAAAATTCCTTATATTTTATTTAATATTAAAAATTTTCTAATTTATACCTTCAGGTTCCTCTTCAGGTTCCACAGCTTCTTCATCTCCTGACCTAACTTCCTCTGCCTCATCCGCCTTTGCATCTCCATCCTCTGAACTACAAATAAAATAAACATTATACATAATAAAAAAAATATATTTCAATGTTATTCATATATATATGTATGTGTATGTGCTATATATAATATATAGCATACACTTAGAATAAGATAAGCTAATTTGAATATATTTAAAAGATATTAAGAATTCTATGCATATATAAAATATATATTACATATGCAAGTAAATAATTCGAGAATTACAATTTTGACTTACCCAGATGGTGATCGAGAACGTGAACGAGACCTAGACGGACTCCTGGATCCCGAACTTCGCGAACGACTTCCAGCATCGCTTGCACCTGCCAAGTTTTATTATACATTTTTCACATCAAAAACTGATACTACCATGCTATTATCACTTTTGTTGTTAATTATTACCTTCCGAATCCGACATTTTGAGATTGTTTGCTCGTGAAAATATGAATGATGTAGTTTAGAGAAACGCGTATTCTCTAAAAACACAAAACAAATCTCCGAATAAGATTGGAATGAATAATATGGAGTTTGGAGTAGTACAAGTAAAGTGGCGCTACTAACGAAAATTTCTAGAATTCAAAAGGAGATGTTACTCAGAGGGTAAGTACAGAAGTATCGCTTCTGGTTTGGACGCTTCGTATCTAGATATTCATGCATTATGATTATGATATTTATGAATTTTCAACAAACAGCTTGAGACAGCTGTTTAACAGCTGTTTAATTGTCATTATTCATGAATGTCACATACGTTCCGACCCGAAAATGTATTATATATTATCTCAAATAGGATTATTTCAATAAAATTTTACTTAGAATAGTTTTTTGAAATTCTATGCTGTTTTCTTCCAATTTTATTTTATATATATCTGAATTTTATATTTGCAATTTCATCAGATATACAAATTCAATATTCGCACTTTATCATAAAAGAATATAATAGAGAGAAAAGAATAATAGGATGATAAATTTATTTATAGCCAGCATCTCAAAATTTTATATTATATCTTTAAAAAAAATAGACTTATATAAGTATAAATAAAGAATTCATTTCCGTATTATATAAAGTTGAAAACTAAGAATAACTAAAAGAGAATAAAATTTGTGAAAGATGGATCTTTCAAATGCTGGAAAATTGCCTAGGTAACAAATAAACAACAGGCTCATGATTACTGTTGAGTATTACTTATATTTTTCGAATACGTAAACCTGGCTTTAATTTTAACATGTCCGATATAGCGGAAAATCTTCTTGCACAGTATTATGGATTGTGCAAGAAATCGGAAACTGAAAAATTTATATCAATTCATGAATGCATGAGCAATGTGGAGGACGACGTAGAGAAATTGATTGGCGAACAATCGACAGTGGATACGGCGAACGACAATGACACGTCCAGAGAAACGGAAGAACAGGTATGAAATTTAATACAATTTGCCTTTTGAATATAAATCGATTAATGAAGTAAATTAACAATATTTTCGTATTATATGTTTGTAGGAAAACGTCGTTGAGAACGAGGAAAGAAATTCCGAAACTGACATTCCGACGAGATCCTCTCGAGCATTAGAATGGGAAGCATTAGAAGACAATGAAAAAACATCGTCTGAATTCAATATTATTTTCGAAGAAAATGCAGCGAGCAATTTATATGAAAATACAAACGCTTCTTCTGGCAAAGAGACACAAGATCTTGTCTTACACAACGCCAAAACCATCACTTTAGGTACGCGAAAAATTATGTTACAAATTTCTCTCTTATCGAATATATTTTAATATCATCTTTTTACTGTGATACATAAAAAGATCCGGAAAACAACGAAGGGAACGATTTATATCTCTCACTTAACGAAGATGCATTGCCGGATAGCGCTTCAGACGTTTCCTCGATAGCGGGGGAGAAAAAAACGAAGAAGTCTCCAAATATATGTATCTCACCCTCGACGCCACCGCCAAATAAATCTCAAATATATAACGAGAACTTTGTAGATTTAACGAGTGCTGGTCTTACATTCTTTCCCATTGAAGTGATCGAAAAATATTCTACAATACAAGTATGAATACAATACGATTTATACTAATTTTTAGAATTAAAAATGTATGCAAAAATTTATTACAGGTGCTTAAAAAGTGACTCTTATTACATCGATTAAGATATTCTATTCTATTCATTTTCAGATGCTATATTTAGAAAATAATAATCTCTCCAAACTTCCTAAAGAGCTTTTCGTTTCTTTGCCACATTTGCAATGGCTGGACGTTAGAAATAATCAATTGACAAATTTACCTACGAGTATTCGATCGCATCCTTCGCTGGAAAGCATCCTGCTACAAGGAAATAAGTTCGAGAAATTGCCATTAGAACTGTGTAAGTAAATGGATATATGTATAATAATTATTTTCTTATCAATAAGTAATAATTATTTTATAAATCGTGTTTCTATTCTCTTTGACATCTGTTTTATTTATTTTTAAAATAATAATTGAGGTACTATTTCGCAGGCCTGGTGCCAAAACTTAAAATACTCAATATAGCACATAATCCTATTATTACACCTCCAAAGGATGTTATAGCTCTCGGATGTTCGGGTATTCTCAACTATCTCCGAACTGAATGGAATAAATTACATCCGGATGATCCTGCGATATCTGTGGAGCGTAAGAATATCGAATATCGAATATCGAATTTATATATTCTAATTTCCTATCATAATATAAACATATGTTATTAAACATATATTTCAATTTAAATTAATTAACGATTAATTAACGATTTACTAACGATTATTTGAATGAAATAAACTGCTAAATCAATATAATCGCCAATATATAAATTATAATCAAAACAAATTTCTTTTAGAAAAAATTGAACCAAAATTATCAACAATTTTGTGTTATCAATCTCCTCACGAAAAGCGACGAAAATTATCAAAAATTTCGCAGCAAGCATCGAAAAGCACCAATGATATCGGTTCGTTCAAGGGCGTTTCGGTTAGGAAAAGGAGCAGAGCTTACAAACCCAGTAACAGGTACATCAATTCGCAAATTAATACTTTCCTGGAGGATCCGATAAAGGATACATGTATCGATGATGCAACGAGTTCTCTTTGCACGTCATGTGCGCGAAATCTTGCTGACATCCGATACAAGAATGAGAATAACATGAAGGAAAATAAAAGTGATGATTATCAAGATAAAAAATGCGATCAACACGCATTTTTAAAAATGATAACTTCATGTCACGATGCCAGCAAAACTTGCATCAGAAGAGAGATCGCCGAAGTGGATGCGAAAATCTTGCATCTAATCGGACCATCGCCTAGATCATGTTACGTTAGACGAAATGTTACGGGGTTGATAACATATAAACATTATTCTGGAAAGGAATGTAGAATTAAAACGATCAGTAATGAAACTAAACACATTACGCTTGCAAAATCGAGCAACCCCGAGGTATTCAGTGAGGAGAAAAAGAAATGCAGAAACTCCGAACACGTGGAATTAATTTTCGATATTGTCACGAAAGATATGCAAAGAATGCAACTGCGCCCGATGCAACTGAAAGATTCGCGCTGCATATTATCGTGTTTGGAGAATTATCTTGATATCAAAACCGATAAGATATCTCTATAACTTTTAATCAATATCTATATCTATATATATCAATATCTACATTAATTATATTTTCACTAATAATAATAAAATATTAATATGTATAATAGCAGGAGTTTATTATTACATGTAAAAAATATGCAATGGGCATTTTCTGCATTTAGATGCGAGAATAAAGGGACCAATATTGCTATGGAACAACAACTGCAATGGATATCTAAAGCGAGAGATTTATTCAGTGCACAATCGGCAACAATTCAAAAAATTAAGTAAGATATCGATCTAACTTCTTCTCAATAATTGCAAATAGTACACATATAGATAAATTATATTATATATAGAGATTCGGATGCTATAAAAGAATGGAGACGTGATAAACGAAGTTTCAGTAAAAGTATGGAGAAAGTATCGAGAAGAAATGAAGGTATACAACAATACTTTTCTTATACGATAGAAAGAGAAAGTAGAATCTATATTTGCATTCTTTACTCTTCCAAACACGAATACAAAATACGAAAATATTTGCATAATCGTATTATAACTTATGATATATATATATTTTTATTTATTTATTTATTTATTAGACGATATTCCTTTCGCAATCGACATCAAAGATTATCCTGCGATACGAAAACAACCACAAAAAGCGGTATAATAATTATATATATATATTTTATCTGAGAAAAAAATAACAAGTCAAAAAAATTTAATAAGAACAAATTTTCTATTATCCGATCTAGAAAGAAAATGCGGATAACCAGACAAATGGAAAATTAAGATTTGCTGCACCAGTGTATATATATATATATAGATAAGTCGAATAAATATTATACATTTTCAGTAATTCTTCAGTATAACTTTAAATATTATATTTTAGAAATATAAATAACAAGATTCAAGAATTACTAGGATCTTTACAAAAGTTTGAAATTACGAAATCTTCAGAAATATTGACACCTAAATCCAAACAAAAATATCTGCAAACCAAGATTAAAAAGGTACATTGTGTTATTATGTCGCACGTGTTTTGTAGTTAAAATTTATTAAGAAAATAATTACTATTTTGATTTATTTCATAGCTCTCACAATTTCAAAAGGAAGTTCAAAATCTAAGAAGATTCAACGAAATTATAACAGCTCCAATGAATTCTCCAAACAGTTAATCTCAATGTTTTCTTTTCTGATTTTTATTCGGAGATTTTATACTTTTGTATCTATTACTATTTATAGAAAATTCCAAGCTCAGTATCAGTCTTGAGGTATTTATTTAAATAAAACAGTATTAATCACACACGCATATTACAATATCAATTTCATGCCCAGTTTCGGTAGCACTTGTCGAGGCAATTGGACAAACATATTTCTGTTACTATTGTAAGAAATGAACTTCTTATATATAAGAAAACTGGAATTTTGCATTATATTCTACAAACATATCATATCTACTATCAATGTACATGTGGTAAAAAGATATGAATAAAAGTGAATATTCCATGTGTGTATTTCGAAAGTACTTACAAAAATTATTAAAATGATTTATGAGAGAATTCGCACGCGTTCCTTCCAATCTCCTCGCTAGTGCATTCGATTCTTTTTACTGTTATCGTTATATTCAGTATAAAAATCCTAAAAGCCATAATCTCTCTCACCATATATATGCAAATATATGTGCGATAATCACAAATGTTCTTTTTTCTTTTTGTACATGGCACTTAATCAAGCTTTGTAACAAAGTTTGGAGGTATGTATTATATAGAATTCTCTTGAAAAATAACACAGTAAATTATTACTATAATCAGTACCATCGATGGAGGCAAATAATCTATATCTGTTGTGATTAGTTTTTTTAATTCTGTACATTTCGTACACTCTATGCATTTAGCTTGTACAGAGAGATATAAAAAAAAAATCAACTAATTGATATCTTAATAAAGACATGATAAAAAATGATTATATATATATATTTATATAACGTGCGTTATTGTTTTCATTATAATATTGCGCTTTCTATCTTGCATTTGCTTGTGGTGTTATTTGTGATATAAAAAAATCTTTCTTCTAATGATTAATATATTTAATTAATAATGTGCTTTCACAAAGCGATTAAAATAAGTTAAAACAATATACATATATAATGCCTGCATATTTATAATGCCGAATATATGACTTTAGTATAGAAGATAACATCTACGATATCTTGCTCATATGTCCAATAATGATTGATTATGATAAAGGAATGATACCATTTATGTAAGTGTCTTATATATCTCATCACACATTTTGTAATGGCATATATACATATGTATTGCACACGCAATTGTAGAGTCGATCGAAATATCCATAATAAAAACTATAAAATGAAAAATTATATATAAAACCTAAAAAGCTTTCTCACTGAAAATGCCAATGTATATTATGTTTATGGCTGAGCAGTAAACACTACAAAAAATGTTTTTGGATAATATGCATTAGATTAGAATTATATATATTTAAAATCTGAAGCAATATATTTTTTATGTGTGTAATATCTGCTATATAATATATATTATAAGCATTTGAAAGAAGATGTGTTTTAAAATTATATTCGATTATTTTTATACATGGTTTTGATAAGAAAATAATTTTCAATTAATTAGAAAGTTCAGACAACTTATTAATGAACACACATACTGGCATTTCGCATAACATACACTCATACACTCTCCTTCTTCGTCTCTCTTTTTATCTATTCAAGAATTTTATACATATACATATTATTAAAACCAATAAGATGAATTGTCATAATCTTGTAATATATAGATGTGACTATTGATAAAGTAAAGAATCGAATTCACATGTTATGTTGAAAACAAATCTAGTTATTGCACTATGTACTCTTATTAATTCTTCTTAATGTGTTTTTTGATATATTGTTATAGTTAATGAAATATCATTGATATTAAAATATGATATTAATTAGCATCAATTATACCATATGTACATATATGTATACTTGTATCAAACAAAGGTTTCTGAAGAGTTTGATACTATAAGAAAGATTACATATCAGAATATTACTGATATCCGGTTGCACAACATACCTCTGAAAGAAGTACACTTATTTTTTTAACCTATCGCATTAGCGTGCTTACAGTTTAAATAAAGGCGCTCAATTTTATTAATAGTCTCTTAGACTATTAATTATTTCCCTAAGAAAACATCGTTTTTTTAGGAGATGGTCCAAGTAAATATACCTTGTTGATGAAGATCACCGGAGCACTGATTCTTTGTTAGAAACTTCTACACATAGTCTTAATTCCAGGATGTTCCTCGTGTGCTGGATTTAAATCAACGAAACCCAACTTGCCATAAAACTCGTGGGATTCTTTATCCGTTGACGACAGTGTCGTATGTACTCCGAAAGAACCTGAAACATATCCCATATAATCACATATAGTATTCAAAAATATCAAAATATAATACTCAAAAACATCTAATCATATAATGAAAAAAATATAAAATTTCGATTTTTAATAAAGATCGAATTTTCTATTATAAATTTTATTATGTTTCAGTAATGAACTCGTACCATTCGCTCTTAAAGCCGCAAGAATACAAGTTATTAAACGTTTACAAATAGACTGATCTGTTACACTTGATAATACAGCACATATAAGTCTCGACGGATGTTGCCTGCATAATTGTTCTGTCACATCCGGAATAAATGAATGGAAATATTGTATGGCATCCTGCACAAATTTTAATTTGGAAATCGTCAGTACAAAAATCCTATGAAGAATATACAAAAATACAAATGTATATAAAAAGTCATTGATACCTGAACGTTTTGTGGTAATTCGTTAATGCTATTATCTAAGGGATATTTCATTCGCAATTCAGGGATCCAAGAAACAGCCATTTTCTGGTTGTGTGATTTTACATTTAGCGCAGCCATTGCATAACCCACTATACCGTTTTCATCCTCAACAACCATACATAATTCTGAACTCAAGGTTAGATATCCTCCAACAAATCTAGATTATAAAAAGAATATCTATTAAAATAATTTTCTTTTTAAACGAAAAATAGTTATATGAAATAGAACTTCGATAAACTTTGGCTGGAGAAGCGGAAAATTCTTGGAAAAGAGAAATTAATATATATTCTTTTCTGATTAATTATTCTGATTAATATATCATGCGTTGATGTTATACCTATCTGCAACAGCTGATGAAGTTGTACAATTATTAATTTGATTGCAAACTGTATAGATTGCTTCTTCATCGCTAGGTAAATATGGCCGAATTGTATATATTTTACTATTGGGCACTTCTGGTGCTTTATAGACAAATAAGTCGTTGCCACTGTCCACTGGAATTAATCTCTAAACACACAAGTAATATATTCTTCAATGTATCTCATCATTCTTATGATTAGTTGAACAATAAGAGAATTAAACGCACCTGTAAATCAGCTGTAAGTCCACCGCGGAAAACCCATGGCTCTTGGTCTCCACTCATAAATGTTTCTTTCCAACCATTTGAAAACCCTATAGCCCAAAACATAAAATCATTTTTAATAAATCACGAAACACTTGAGTTAAATATTCGCGCGTTATGCGTAAAATTTAATTTCAATTGGCTTCCACTGCTTGAGCATCAATTTTGCTTAAATCTTTAACATGCAAGGATACAATTCGATTGGAGTTGTCTCATGTTTCTTTCTCCCGTTTATCTTGGAATGCCTTTCTGCTTCTCATGTCAATTAAAGTATGAGAGAAAAAATGATCCAACCAATCAGACAACTGAGGTGCAACAAGTTTTATAGATTTGAAAGAAAAGATTGGATAGAGAAAAATAAAAATTTTATAGAAATATTCGACAACATATAGTACGAATAATATAATAGAGTATGAAATTGAAAGAATTGTATAATGTCAAGCTTCAAGAAGGTTTAGTTACAATTATCTAAATATATTGCTTGATTAAAAAAAAATTAACATTAATAAATAGAGGAAAAGAATTACAGATGTCACATGCTGCACCAAAGCTCGCGCAATGCTAAACTCTTGAAGCATTGGATTAGGATATAGGAAAATTGGAATAATAGTCCAGTTTGCCAATATGCGCCTGAAATAAAATTCTTATCACGCCTGAAAAGAACATAGCTTCTGAAACTAAGTAAAAAATAAATTAGTGCAGGCCAGTTGGCAAAAGGCAAGTAATAGTTGATCATTTAAGATAAAAAAAAAGAATAAATACTTTTACTGCAATACTATTGTTTGCAATCCATAAACATTATCATATATTAAAGAGATATATTAAAAGAATTGGAAGAGTATCTTTTATCACAAATGACCAAAGATTTGTAGATGGGACATGTTCAAGAGCTTATACATTTCTGTTTACTAAACTGTGCCAATTCTACATAATTTTATGATGGACCTAATTCAAAGACTCAAAATTATTAAAACCATTATGTCGAATATTATTAATTCAATTGTATATAATATTCTGTTTTAAAAATATAAATTAAAAAAATTTAATATCTTTATTTTATATATTCATATAAATTTATATGAATTATATATAAATGTGTAAAAAATAAAATATTACTAATGAAATTATCATGAGAAGTACGTCCATCGTCTATTAACACGAAAATGAATGTGCTTTATACACATTGATTTTTCGAGCTATTATAACGCCGCTTCTACGCGCATATTTCTCGCTCAACTTATTAAACGAGGTGATCTTTTATAAAATCCCAAACAAAATTTTAAAAATACAACTATATCATTGCAATGTTTGGAACTTTATTATTTCGCGCGCTTTCTGCTATGTTACTCAAAGACTGAACCGCATACATGTATAGCTGCCCTGGGTAAACGTCGTCATCGTCGATGGAAATCTGCCAAACGCTATCAACAAGACAAAAAAACACAGAAATGCAAGTTAGTGAATAAATTCAAGCTGTACTGATCTTGATCATTTACATTCTGCAGGAGGATGTTCACTATAAAATAAACTGTTTTAAGATTTAGATTTTAGATCATCTCAATTTTGTAATAAATAATTTGGTAAATAAAGAAATATCATATTTATTAAAAAATAATAAACATTTAAAGCAAATCAATTTCCAATTTCAATAATTTTAATATTGAAAATGATTGTATAAGAAGAGGAACACATACATAAACATATTCCTGCTTTGTGTTATCTGCAAAGAAAGTCGATTGATATGT